CAAAAACCCCCGCCCTGTGCACCCCCCGAAACATCTGTTAGTATTCCATTCAATGAAAATAGAATCAACAAATAAGATAGAAAAAAAAAAAACAAGCACCGAACTCTCAAAGCCATAAATAAATTAAATGAAAAAAATGCAAGAAATGAAATTGAAATCGAAAATGAGAACAACAATTAAAGATATAAAATCACACACCAAAAAAAAAAATGGGCACGCAACGTGCATCACTCGTAACAGGAAATGTACGTGAAAAGTCATGAACGATGCAAAGTACCTGACAGCCTGACACTAATATCACACATGCAAAATGTAACATGATACAATGTATCCTACTGCTAATGCACTGGTACCACATGTCGATACTTTGCTTGAGACAGTAGTGTACAAGTCGTGTCGTAGCTGCTGAGATACTGTATAGTTTGTACTGAGTCTGGTGCAACCGACGACACTCTACGAACACCCTACAGGCACCAAAATCATACTCTACGAACACCCTACTGCTAGCAAAATCATACACACCAACAAGTAAAGCACGCACACTACCACTGAGTGGCTGACAATACTGAGACAAGACGAGACGACTCAGACGACCAGAAAAACTAGGACGACACAACATGACGACGTACAGTGCGAGTAGAGGAGAAGCGGAGTCTTGGCCTCATCGGTCAACGACCCTTCTTCCCCTTCCCGCTCCATCTCCTCGTACCCCCTCGAGTGCCAGATGTCGATGTCTTCCTCCCTCGTGAGGATGAAGAAGTCCGCGCAGCGGAGCGTCTAGATGCACGTGTCCGTGGGGGTCCTGGGGAGGTGGGGGCTCATCATAGTCGTAGTCGTCGTCACCATCGAAACCGCTCCTGCTCTCCTCCTCTCCTCCTCTCCCCCCTCCTCGCCCTCATAGTCCTCGTCCGCCTCCCGCACAGCCGCATGGCCCGCATCCGTATCAGGATCCTCCTCCTCGATGGTGACTGGGCCTCCTCCCTTCCTCAACACAACAACCCTCGCACTACCCTCTGCAATGGTCTGCTCACGGCGGTATCCACGAGGCATCCCCAACCCCTCCGCCCCCGAACTCTCTCCAAGTGTAGCGCCTCCCTCTGCAGGCACGGGGCGTGGACGAGGAGACACTCCACGCTTGCGTGGAGTCTGCTCCTGCACGGCATGCGTCGCTGCTCTCAGAGCGTACTCCAAGGTCTCGGTGGACACTCCTTTGCCGCGACCTCGCTGAGGCTCACAACCTAATGCCGATACCTCCCTCGCCGCGGTCGTCCTGGCGCCTCCTCCTCCCAGGCCCGGGTGAAGGCGTGCAGTGTGCTCCGTGACACAGCGGGTGGAATCCAAATTTATGTCCGTCCTCTCGAATATCGTCGTGTCACACACGTCCTGCTGAACTGTTGTCGTGTCACGAATCCTACATCTGCCTGGCGTGTGTGGGGATCGAGAGCCTCAGCTTGTGGGCGACGATGATGGATCACCTGCAGGTGCTCTGGGAGGAGGGGGTGGCATGTCTTCTGTGCGTGGCGCTGTCTCCGTCACGCCACCCGAAACCCCTGGAACATGTCCCACGGTATGTCCTCCGGTGGAGGTAGACCCAGACCACACGGGCGACGCAGGACCCCATGGAACCGAAGGGATCGCCTGCCATGTTGGATGCTCGAGCCTCCGGTCGAAGATCCGCCGGTCCAATCGAGTAACATCGCGCACAGCCTCTCTCGCCAACTCCTCTGCATCTAAAGGACGACGGACCTCCTGCGGAGCAAAGTGGCTAGGAAGACGTGGGGGCACAACCACCGGCTCGGACCCCAAATCCGTGATAACGGGAGGTGGCACACCATGCACTGCCATCTGAACTGCCTGCGACTGTCGGCCCTGAGCCAAGTGCAGGCCCGAGAACGGAACGACTGGACCCGTCGCTGTCTCCTGGACCTCGCGCCGTGCGTCTATACCCCCCTCGACTCGCCGATGTCCTGCCCGCACAGCCTCATCCACCGCCTGAGGCCGTCCCTCTACAGCAACGTCCGATGCCTCTGCTACACCCGGCATAGCCTCGGGTATGGGCTCTGCTGCCACTCCCTCCGCAACGTCATCCCCCGCCACCACCCCAGCCTGCACACAACCCCCCCCTATCTCTCGACGCCTGGCCTCCTCTACGGCCCGTGCAAACGACTGAGCACGCGGGTCACTCCATGCCAAAAGTCGAGCCCTCTCTCGCTCCATGATGTCGCGTGCTGCATCTGGAGACTCAGTCGTCGTCCTCTTTCTCGCGGTCTGCGTCGAAGTTTGTCCTGGCGCGTCGTCCCTCGATGGAGCCCGGTCCATCGATGTCGCCCCGCCGCAACTAGGTGGAAGACCCATCGATAAATCTAAGTCTAAGTGGGTCCCCATCTCTGAATCCGAAATCCCAAACCCCCTCGCCACATCCGGGGTCATACCCTCTATGACCGGATCAAGCTCCTCCGTGAGGAACTGCTGCATGAGGCGCTCGTCATGCCCCCACGCTGCACCTCGGCCTGTGCGGCTATCTCCTCCTCCACTGGTCCTGGCACCTCCCCCTCCACTGCAGCTGCCGACGGTGCCTCCTCCTCCTCCAGTGCTGCTGCTCCTCCACCTGCTCCTCCAGCTGCTGCCACCTGCCCCTCCACTGTTGCACCTCCTCCTGCTGGTAGTGGATCCTCCTCCAGCACTGATGCTGCCATCTCCTCCAGCACTGATGCTGCTGCTATCTCCTCCACCGCGGCTAAGATCGTTGCGTCCGGCACCACCGCTGGTGCCACCGAACTCTCCACTGCTGCTGCCGACGGTGCCCCCTCCTCCTGCAATATCCCCGGGGAAGGTGATCGTAACCTCAGCTGGCGGACTGCCCTGCCTCTGTGGAGAAGTCTGCGCTGAGGCAAAGAGGACCCCAACTCCTCCCTGTCTATCATTGTCGTGGCCGGCTGAAGTGGCGAGACGGGCGATGGTGGTGCAGGACTCGGAGCAGGAGGTGGCGGCATGGACGACTCCCGCCTCGTCAGAGTGGGGGTCGTCTCCTGCGCCTCAGGGCCGCCCGTGGAAGCGACCTCACCGAATGGGCCCCAAAACTCCTCTCCCCCCAGCATCTCCCTCTGTGCCTGGTCCGCCGCCCGTCGTGCAGTGTTTGCCCTCGTCTCCACGGAGTCGGGATCCTCGTGCATCTCGTCGATCTCGCAGGGCCGCCTCGGGTACCGGGTCCTCGTCTGAGTCGTCCTCCCTGGGGTAGAGACGAAAAATGCAAGCACGTCTATCAAAAACGGCATCAGCAGAGGGTGGTGCGGACACCTCGATGGGATTCCGGGTAGTAAGTGCAACCTGACGGGCAATCTCCTCCTCCGTCATGCCCCTGCTAGTCCCCGAGCGCACAGGCTCCAACTCGAGTCCTCCCTGGCAATCTAGCATGCCCTCGTCCCGCTGACATGGCAGCACATAACCGCGTCCAGCCCGCCGATCAGTGTCGTACCCCTGTTCACCGTTCATGGGGGTTGTGAACGGGGGCCGGCCACCGTTCACGAAAAACATGAACGCCAGTAGTTCACGAAGTTCACGCTGAGCGAGAACTCCGTTTTTTTTTTTTTTTTTTTCGCCTGGTAGGGGTACTTGTTTTTTTATAGACGTGTGGGGACTGTAAAGGGGCACCTGCCCGTTTTTATTTTTATTTTTTCGATCGGATGTTTTTTTTTTAATTTTTGAGAAAAAAAAAAAAAAAAGGCCAACTACGGCCGTGAGATTTTCAGATCGGGTGGCAACGAGCCACGTTGAGTGGAGGAGGGCTCAGGAGACTCTGAGCCGTTGCGCGTGAGAGAGAGTGAGACTCTCAGCCGTTGCTCGCGCGCGCGCGAGAGAGAGAGAGAGAGAGAGAGAGAGAGAGAGAGAGAGAGAGAGAGAGAGAGAGAGAGAGAGAGAGAGAGGTGTATGTGTGTACGCGCGCGCCGGGGAGTGGAGGGAGGACCCCTCCCCCACCAACTAGTCAATCAATCAATCAATCAATCAATCAATCAATCAACCCCCAAATATATATATATATATATATTTTTAAACACAAATATCCTTTTTTTTCTTTTTTTTTTCCTGATTTGAAGGCATGGAATCGTAGCTGGACCCCGCGCGACCCCGATCGCACCTCAACGCCGACCACCTTGGCTGCCACGTGGCCACCAGGGCCTTGAACGGCCCCTGTGAACGGCCCTTCACGGGAATCGGACCCGATGAACGGCCGGTCACGTTCAGGTGGCCGGACCCGTTCACGTTCACGGGTCCGGTACTGTCGCCGATACTCACTCAACTGCACATTTGCGGTGATCTCAAAGAGTTGAACGACCTTCTCGAAGGCCAACTGGTTGCGCTTCTTCATGTGAATGCCCTCGTGGAGTGCCTAGTTCCTCTCCGCTGAAGAGGCGCAAGACCACATGTGCATCACCCGAAGAGCGTAACGCTGCAACTCTGGCGCGCCCGACCCGAACTGAGACCACCAAGACACGCACTCAATCGTCTCGTTGTCGCCGCTGCACTCGCGCCCACGAGCACGCCCCTCCGGCCCGCCCCAATCCCCGAACCTGCGCTGCTGAATGTGGAAGTCCTCAAACTGCCGACATGCAAGGATGTACTCCACACTCTCCAACTCGAATCCCGTCTGCGTCAGAATGTACCTCTTGGCTTGCCCCACAAGCCAAGCATCGTACCGATCTTCCTGGCCCGAAAAGTAGCGAACGTGTCGCCTGCGGGGGTTCAGTAAGAACCCTGCGCAGTAAGCTGGCTCAAGCATGTGTTGTGTGCGAGCCTGCACACGCCTTATGATTTGGTCGGCGAACGACTTCCCCAAAGGGGCGCATGCGTCCGTGACACGACGGACAAGATCCTGCGTCCACTCGATCGTGAGGGACATATACTGTCCTCTACGATCCATTTGCCTAAGCAACTCCATGACGGGCTGCATGATATGGACGATGGTGGCCACCCTCTGCCACCATGGATCCCATCTGATCTGTCGGTGCACCCAACTCGCCATGACGCACACATCGGCGGACCACGGGATGGAAGCAAAAGTCCGCGCGTCATCCCCTCGCATCATGTCCTGCAGAGTGTCCTGCAGGGCCAATAGCTTCTCTAGCATGGAGTAAACAGACGGGAACCACGTCTTGCAAGAAAGAATAAGCCCCTTGTCGGGGCAGCGCATCCTAAAAAAATGAAGGGCGGCCTCGTGGGTTTTGAAAAACACCACCAACACACGAGCGCGTGTGATCACGTCCACAAACGCGTCGCAACTCGTCCCCATGTCTGACAATAATTTGTTGCAGACATGGACGGAGCACGAGAGCCAAGTGATCCTCCTCAGTGCAGGAGGCATGGACGGCGAGGCCAATGCCCTTGCAGCCCCCACATAGGTAGAAGCGGAGTCAGTGCATTTCGCATTGATCCGCTTCGGCGCGCCGAAGATGAACTCGTGGAAGATGGTAACCCATCTCCGAAGGACGTGCACTGCATCGTCCGCCTCGCCCTCTCGACTGATCGTCGTGTACACGATGACCCCTCGCGAGCCTGCGGCAAGGAAATTCACGATCGGTGTCTCGTCTCGTGATTTCCTCCCAGCGGACAACCCTCGCTGATTCCCCCCGACCGCACCGCTGCAACCCAACCCCTGTTAACCTCTGCCCGCCGTAGGTTCCCCCTTCCCCCAACCCCCCCCC